GGGGCATGTAGAGATGGCCACAATTAAGAAAACCAAATGGGTATATAAAGGATTAATAATGTCATCTAAAATAAGAGTCAAATTTGCTTGGAACAACAACTAAAAGAGATTATTTGCCAATGAAAACTCTTGAAGAGGTGACTGTCAATCTGAAATGAAATAGATGGATTGATTTTAAGGTTGTCAATCTCGTATTCCCATGAATATTGATTTTGGCTACTGTTATTTCAAAAAATCTCCTTGACATGTGGCAGATGAAATAACATACCATTTGCTTTGCTCAAAATAAGAAAGATTTTTTCGACGATCCTCTCTTTTTTCCAAGCATAAAACTCAGCTTGTGAGTCGATGGAAGAACGTCATAAATTGTGCTTTAAAGATAAGAGGATTGGCAAAAACGAGAGATGAATTTCCTGCACTAAATGGGTTATACGGTAAAATGCCCTGGATATGATTCCAGGACTCTTCAAAGCTAATGTATTTAAGAAAAGTTAAAACTGCAATGAAAATAAATGATCGCTAAATTACTAAAAATCTAAATGAACTTTAAATACACAATTGGATTGAAACAGAACTTTAAAAGGAAATTTAATTGCAGTAAAAGTAAATTAAGTTAAAGTAAATAAAACCGTAAACAAGGAAAATCTACTGACAGCATAAAATATAAATTAACAGAAATGAAATTAAACATGAAATTAAATGTCGACATCATTTGATTTAATTAAAAGAAACTTGGAAAATAAAAAAGGAAAAGAATCAATCCGATCACAAAGAAATACTACTGAAAGCAATGGAACTCACCATTACAAATCCAACAAATGAAGAGCTGGATTACTAAACTAATCTAGATTGAAGCGTAGAGTTGAAATTAAATTAAAGGGCTTGAAACTAAGATGAATCTGAGTATAAAGAGAAATTGTGCTGAGTTTGTTGTGTGAGATGTCAATCCTTTACTTGATCTTATCATTCGGTATTTATAGCACCTTGGCAACATGGTGGAGATCTGCGGCAGTATCGTGAAAAACCAACGACAGCGTGATATCTGCAACAAACCGATTAATTTGTTGGTGTTGGTGCTGCGAGTATCCTTTTGGAAACTCATAACAAAAGAACAATTTTGTTGCCGTTGTGGAAATAACCATTCAATCTCATTTGAAGAGATTTATTTTAACTTTCAACTAATAAAATATCTATCATCATAAATAACACGTGGCAACACTCTATTTATTGTAAAATTAGATGTAACAGCTATTAATATTATAGGACTTGCAAATAGAACATGGGCCATTACACAATTTT